AAAATATATAAATATATATATGTATATGTTTTTAATTCCGTAAATATAATTTTGCGAACTTAATATATATTAATTATGTGATCATTACAATACGAAGTTTGAATTAGAAAATATATATATGTATATGTTTTTAATTCCGTAAATATAATTTTGCGAACTTAATATATATTAATTATGTGATCATTACAAGGGAATAATACGAAGTTTTGATCTGTGTTAGATTTTGTCTTCAGCCATTATTTAATAAAAAAAGATACGTAGCAATTATATGAACTGTTTATTTCGAAAGTGATTAAATATTTAATCTCATAAAATGGCTATTTTATTTTACCTAAATACATATATGTTGAAAGATTTAACTAAAATATTTTTTTTCAGAATAAACAGTTCGTATACTGTAATCTAGTTTGTTATTTTAAGTACATTTTTGTGATATACCGTCTCTCTCTCTCTCTTAGTTTGTTAATAATTTACGACTCGAATGTGTATTATATATCAATTTTTCCTTAAAACTCGATATTTCACACATGTGTTGTAGGATAGCATCTTTATTTATATAAATATGGTGTGCCAAATGTGGAACGTATACATTTTTAGATAAAGTATCGATGGACGAAATGTATTTTTGCAATTTAAATGGCGCGATAAAAGTTTAGGCGAAACAATGACCAAGCCACTAGTCAACAGAACGTGCATTAAAAATGTTCAATAATTTTATATAATGAGTTTTCCGATTCTTTTTTTTTTTTTTTTTTAAATAGATTTTGCTTTGAATAATATATATTTGCAGTTTGATAATAAATTCTGCTCTCGCGCGTCGATTATTTGTCTATAAAAAAATTATGTAAAAAAATGTACATAATAGATGTTTTGATTTAGGATTATAATACGAACGTTATATTTATATGTATATGTATTATTTATTACAAAACATTCTTTTCCACTAGCTGTCACAAGACTGCTAATGTAATCTTACTTTTAATATATTTTATAGCTCTTGTGAGATTTTTCCCTACGTTGGAATTACAAATGTAAAATGTCTATATATAACTCTATATGCAACTAAAATGTAAATGTTTAATTCTTGAAACGAAAAAAAGTAAAATAAAATAATTCGGCGATGCTCTTGCACAGCTTTAGATGTTACATTATCGCGAGAGAAAGTTCTTTAAGGCCAACTCCCTGTTGGATAATTGAATATGTTTTTTATATTTATAACATACGAGTTTTTGTACAGCTTATGAAAATGTAAAGAAACAAAGTGTCGGGATGAGGAACGTCTTACTTGTATTGTACTGTATTGTATAACCATAATACCGTCATTTTTGTCAAAATATCAAGCAGAAACAATATATCCAATTCTGAATGTGTCACGTAGTTCTTTATATATATAGATATGGGTTATTATGTGTTGTACTTATTAGGCTCTCTTACATCTATATCGAAATATGCCACGTGATTTGCAAATATCAATAATTTATCAATCTGCGTTGAGATATAATGTTTTTATAAATTTTGCGCGCAACGATAATATTTACATGTAACGTAAAAAATGCTCACACCGGCGCATAGTGCAACAAGTGAATAATCTGAAGAGAAATAATTCTTATTTTATTAAACTTTTTAAATTAATGTTTATAATGATAGTATGAATATATGATTACTTTAGATTAATTAATTATGTAAGTCAGTTTCAACATTACAGTAAAAATAAATTTAATTAAAATAATTATATACAATTATTCAATATACGAATTAAAGATTTATCTAATAAAATGTTAATATTAATAATAATAAATGCTAATAAAAGGTTTATCTAATAAATATAATTTATTAATTAAAGTAATCAATTATATACAATTATTCAATATATAAATTAAAGATTTATTTAATAAAATGGAGAATTATATCTCTTCAAATCACTCATTTGTCGCTCTGTGCGGCGGCTGTGAAAGCACCCTTAATAAAATCTCGCTGCTGGACGCGGAGGGGAACGGGGGTGGCGGACGCGGGACGGTACGGTGTACGGTACGGCAGCTAGTAGGGAAACGAAAGCGAGAACCGGGGATGATCTCGCCGCGAGCCGTGACTGGTCGGCCGATGCGCCGCCGAATAAACATCGTAGCTCACCGATAATAGCCGAAGCGCCGTAAGGTGCCGCTCGGCTTGCGGGAGCGAGACAGAGGAGAGGAGGCCGCGCGGAGCGGAACGCCATGGTGTGTGACTGGCTACGTCACTGTTATCGTTGTCGCCTAAGGTTGCCGTTAAATTTCGCGTCGCGAGTGCAGCGGAAAAACATTGACGGAGAGCACGGCCGCGCGTTTCTCCTTCGCGCGGATTCGCAATTCAATCGCGATCCGAGGTGAGCGAGACAGAGAGAGAGAGAGAGATACACATATATATTTGTATAAAGCGAGAGAGACGCGTCGCCCCTTTTTTTAAAAGTCCCGTGTATCTCGGCGCGCGCGTGTCCGCCGCGGAACCACCGTCGCCGCACCGCAACCGCACCGTTCCGCGCCGCGCCGCGCGGTGCAGTGTGTACACGTACGAGGCCGCGTGCGCGCGCGCTCGCGTGTGTGTCGCGAGTGCCCCTCTGTGTGTTGCGCTCCTTCTGTGTACGTCGAGAGGAGAGTGCGTTACGGTTCCTACGAGGTGAGCTTTTTAGTACGAGTACTGTCGGGCGAGAGTGTGGCCGACGCGCGCGTACCGGCATCTTGCTTTCTCGCTCTAGTGTCATCGTTCTCGTGTTGTAGTCGTAGTCGTAGTCGTTGCCGTTACGGCCGTCCTGTCCCGTCGTCGTCGTCGTCGTCGTAGTAATCGTTCTCGTCTCTCGTTAGTGTCGCAGCTGACGACCGAGTGCATCGCGAACGCGGTGCGAGAGCCGCGGTCTACCCGGGTGGCTCGCGGTGTCTCTTGTCGCGAAAGAGTGCGCCATGCGAGAGAGGGATAAATCGGTGACTGGCGGGCGGCGGCCATCTTCCAGATGAGGTTTTTCTCCTTCTTTCTTCCGATAAACGGAGTGCGCTATGTCGTGAGAGAGAAGGCCAAAGGGAACGAGAGATCGTAAGAGACCGATTGATAGACGGAGAGGTGTAGTGAAAGAGAGAGAGCGAGAGAGAGAGAGAGAGAGAAGGAAGATAATTATATACGCGTCCATCATGCAACGAGAGATGCGGTGAACGGCGCGTGCTGTTCGGCGGAGTCGCGAAATTTCACGAGCGCGTGTCGCCGCTTCAATCAGTTTTCGCTCGTGAGGGCGAGCGGAAAAAACAGTCGCTCGTGTGCGCGACGAGACGAGAGGAACGTATTAGGAAGTGCGCGCTCGTTCGCGCCTGCGAGCGAGAGAGAGAGAGAGATCGGCAGAGGGACGGGGTGAAGCGAACCAGAGCGGAAGACGGAGAAAGAGACATACCGCGTGCGGGGGAAGAAAACGGAAGCGGTGCGGAGGTGAAACGAACACGGAGAGGCGATCCCCTATTACCGCGCGTTCGTTTGTTCGTAATCGCGTCGTTTTCGCGAGCGTGACAAGAAGGAGCGAGGAGGAAGGAAAGGAATAAAAAAGGAGAAAAAGAAAAAATAAGTGAGTCGCGTCGAGACATCGTCTGTTCCTACGATCTCGAGGAGTGCGTTGTCAGCGAATGAATCGATTACTCGTCGTGTGTAACCTCCAAGTCTCTGGCTGGACGTCGCGAGGAGACTGGGAGGCGGCCGGGAGGGTGGGAGGGAGGGGCTAGGAGGAGGAGGAGGACGACGAGGAGAGCCTCGGCGATCCGAGCCATCGCCTTGTCGTCGTCGCCTTCGCGTTTGTTGGCTCTCTCGCGCGTCTACTGAACCGAGTTTTTCGAGCGTGTTGCTACAAAAGTCGCGTGGATACACGCGAGCCAATCGCGGCCGATAATTCTCGGATCGGCGGCGACAGGGATCCCGGAATCGCAGGACGGTTTATATACGTACGTATCGCCGATTCGAGGATCGGATCGATCGGCGGATTAAACGGCCGGTTATGCCAACTGTGTGCGCTCGCTTGTCTCTCGATCAATTTTCTCTCTTTGACTAAAGCGGCACCTACGCGGTCGGTATTGTTGCGCTGTAATTTTGTCGACACCGATATCAGGGCCAATAAAAGGGCCAGAGGCGCGACGAACTGTAAGAAAATGAGAGATACGACGTTGTCAAATTTTCAGTAAGATACCGCGGGTTATTCCTTCGTTATACCTATCATCGGTTGTGTTAACAATTTCGAATATTCGATACATATATCTTCAACTATAGTATATTGAAATACAGATAGAGAGAAAATAGATTTCGATTATTACAAAGACGGAAAAATGCCATTTTTGAGTGTTTAAATTCTTATTTATTTATAAAACATCTCTATTTTATGTTTCTTTATTACTCCTTAATATACGATTTATAAATTAACTCGAATCGATTAAATAATCGTGTATTGCTATTCGTCGTGCAATTCGGGCTTAAATCCGTACAAGACCTCGAACTCCGACCGGCGCCTTTGGTTTATATCGGAGTATAACCTCATCTCGGCGACTCTCCTTAGGATTCACTCGGATAATCGCCAACTACTGACTAACAACAGAGTGTTGCGTTCCCTTCTGTACTTCTTCTTCTATTCTAACGAAACAAACGCACAAAGCTCGCGCTTTGGAGGAAAAGAGAAAAAATTGCAACGTCGGTAAACAAAGTATCAAAAGTATAACGTCGTATATTATTCAAAGCGCGGTTATTAGTGCGCAAACTTTTTGTTTTTAAATTTAATTGACAAGTATGCATTAAAAATGCATGTTTTTTTTTTATCTATCTTTATATATTATATTTTTCAAGGTTCGTATTTTGCGCTCGCATTCGGGAGACTGATTCCTGATTCATCATGCCGCCATTATGCGCGTTGCTGTACCCTGGTACACTTACACATCGTGGGGGCATTAGTTTTCCCATCTCGCGGCTTTCCTTCCGATATATTACGCCGGATGAGCAAAAGGAGAAATTATTCCCGAGAGAAATTGACGCGCGTGTATTTGAATCTACGTGGATAAAGATTCTCGAAGACGCGAAGCTGGCGTGTGCACCGATGCATGTTGATAATTTTCTCTCCCAGGTTTCATTGTGCCTTGTAATCGTGTATTCATGTATTCTCATACGTTGGTCGTTACTCGAATCGCGTCCATTGTAATGGATTCGAGTAAACAATGCTTACGTGACGTGATTAAATTTAAGATCGATTGATTTGTTTCGGCAGTCAATTCGCTCGTCAATTCACTTTTGACTTTTATGAGGTATAATATATTATATTATAAAAGACATTTATTTTTTCTCTCTTTAAACGAGACAAATCCACCGATATATTACGCCGGATGAGCAAAAGGAGAAATTATTCCCGAGAGAAATTGACGCGCGTGTATTTGAATCTACGTGGATAAAGATTCTCGAAGACGCGAAGCTGGCGTGTGCACCGATGCATGTTGATAATTTTCTCTCCCAGGTTTCATTGTGCCTTGTAATCGTGTATTCATGTATTCTCATACGTTGGTCGTTACTCGAATCGCGTCCATTGTAATGGATTCGAGTAAACAATGCTTACGTGACGTGATTAAATTTAAGATCGATTGATTTGTTTCGGCAGTCAATTCGCTCGTCAATTCACTTTTGACTTTTATGAGGTATAATATATTATATTATAAAAGACATTTATTTTTTCTCTCTTTAAACGAGACAAATCCAAAATGAATCCTAAGGAGGGACGTTAATCGATAACCGTTCGATGTAGGTTGCTCAAATTACATTAGCGATCGTACAAATTAATGAAACGGACATACGATTTAAAAAAGTAGGTTAAAACGCTCTCGACGGTTTTGTAGACGCGCGTGATCGTGTCATTACAGAGAAGATCCACGAGGCGCTCGCCGAGGAGGAGGACTCTCGAAGCCCCGGAAGTCGGGGAGTGCGAAAAATCCACGGATGCTCCCGCGGTGCTGCGGCCCACCCGGTACATCGCGATCGAGAGAGAGTGTGTAGTGTGAGATCAATAATGAGACAGGTGCTCTCATTGGTGTAAAGCGATGCGGCGGAGCTGAGAGTTTTGTCGGGCGGCACTCTAGGGCTCATGAAAAGTGTATCCGGTGTGCGTAACGTCGCCGTCAAGGACCACCGCGTCGCGAGACATTCGAGCGAGTTGGATCAGTGTGATTATAATGTAGTGCCAACTTTGCAGATGGATAAACAGGGATGACTGATAATTGCTGGAATTCTGGTGGTGGTAAGTATCACACGGATCGTATACATTATAAGAAAACTGAACCGAAACTTCAAAGTGTCCGCAGCTTTTTTGCAGACAAACTGTCTGAATTTTCAGACACACTTTTCTGAACTTTCAGAAAAATCACTCCGATAATCAAGACAGATTGTCTGAAATTTCTTTCATACACCCAGATCTGAAAATTTAGTCAAAAATGTGTCTGAATTTCCAGAAAATTTTTTGCAATGTAATTTATCACCCGCTCGATACTCATTGATTAATTTTTTTCCGCCGTCAAAATTAATGGAAGAAGAAAAAAATAACGTTGAGGGCTATTGATAGTCAACCCAAGCGATCGAAAGTGAGAGACGTCACGCTCGAATCGATATTCGCGGATCTTGGGAGTCTCGGGATACCCGGTATATGAAAATACGGATATTATTTACAATATATATACGATTAAAGTAACGTAAGAATAAATCAGGTGACACACGTCGGTCGACATTTATCTATTACGCTTATGAGATGTTAATGTTAAAACTTTGCAGCAAGATCTTATTTTCTACAGAGTAGAACATTGTACATATTCTGCTACTAACTTTTTATCCATCTTGTGCGTGAAAATGCGCGTAAAAAGCCATGAGAATATTTCTCGTTCGTATAAATACAAGGAAAGAAAACAGTTTTGAAATATTTTATTATTATGAAGGTTAAACGCGACACACGTACACAAGGCGTTTCTTACAAATAATTTTACATGGATCGTGAAAAAGATTATCTTTAAAGATATCTCGTTTTCTTATTTTAATCAGCTTTATATGTATGTTTCGTTCGCCCTAAAACATAGTTCAGTAGGTTTCGTACACGGATTATCCCGATCTTCATTCTGAGATATAATATTGAAGGTCTCAGTTGTGGCTCTCCTGTATTAGCTGTTACTGTATACATATAATAAATATTAATAGTTGTTACTGTATACATATAATAAATATTATAAGTTTGTTATAAGATTACAATATCCATGACACACAAACTCGATGAGTTTGTCACAAGTATGTCATTTTATCCTGTAGCGCAAAGTTCTGCAGGAGGAATTTCCTGCGGAATAAGAGCTCTACTAAATCTATAAATCTCACGGAAACTCTCTGAACTCTCTTTCCGATAATATTACGTTAAACAATTGATATGATTGATTAATGCTTTCGGTTTTATCGCGACGGAAAATAAAGTATCGATGCTGAAGAAGAAGGTGCTCAATATTACAGAAATGAAATACTTGGAGATTTTTATACAGGAGTTTGTAGGAAAACGGAAATTATTGCGCAACAAGTTTTATTTTTGCATTTCGCACATTGCGTAAAAACTGCATGCTCATTGATCGCGACATTTTTTTCGCGTTTTATCGCGACAGAAATACACGCGTTTGTAAATGTAACAGATTCTAATTAGTCATCTCCGTATAAATATTGCTAGTCACGGTAAAAACGACGATAAAGACGCGCTCCCTCCTGGCAACACGTAACATTCGATATCGCGTTTTAGCTTATAAGCAGGGATGGGATCAATATGTACTTAAAAATCCGAATCGAATTCAATAATCAAGTTTCCTGTTCTAGAATTCGATTAATATACTCGTAAGAAATAATCTTTCATATATTATACTTGCGAAGTAATCGAAGATCTAGAACAGTTATATTCGAATTTTAGAATGAATAGATTCGAAATGTAACTGTAAGTACTTTTTATCGTAAAGAATTGAATCTTTTATAAGTAGTACTCGCGAACTCTATGATTAAACCTATTTATAGTATTTGCTACGCATTTATATCTCCCATTCCACCTATGCTTACAACCAAACACACGCGTAAAAACTGCATGCTCATTGATCGCGACATTTTTTTCGCGTTTTATCGCGACAGAAATACACGCGTTTGTAAATGTAACAGATTCTAATTAGTCATCTCCGTATAAATATTGCTAGTCACGGTAAAAACGACGATAAAGACGCGCTCCCTCCTGGCAACACGTAACATTCGATATCGCGTTTTAGCTTATAAGCAGGGATGGGATCAATATGTACTTAAAAATCCGAATCGAATTCAATAATCAAGTTTCCTGTTCTAGAATTCGATTAATATACTCGTAAGAAATAATCTTTCATATATTATACTTGCGAAGTAATCGAAGATCTAGAACAGTTATATTCGAATTTTAGAATGAATAGATTCGAAATGTAACTGTAAGTACTTTTTATCGTAAAGAATTGAATCTTTTATAAGTAGTACTCGCGAACTCTATGATTAAACCTATTTATAGTATTTGCTACGCATTTATATCTCCCATTCCACCTATGCTTACAACCAAACACACACACACACACACACAAATACTAATAAAAGATTCGAACATACTTTATCCAAGTTCGAGTCTACTTGAAGTGCTTTTGTTTTTCGAAGTCTTCATAAAGGGTTCGAACCTATTTCCTCTTTAGGTACAAGTCTTCTTAAAAGTACTGCTTTTTTTTCTGAAATAATCGTAGAGAGTTCGAAAGCATGCAAACAAAATTCGAACTTACTTGTATTATAAGATACTTAATCCCATCGCTACTTATAAGTCCAATATACTGCACGAAATGTGGATGTTTTTCTCGATAGCAGCGTCTCGCTGACGGAGATCCAAGTATTCGATGACACACTTTTTCAGAAGCTGCCCAGATGCAGCAATGGATGCGCGCGCGTGCAATGTAATTCTCCGATATTGTTCGCGTATAGATCCCGCCCGCGAAATATCCTGGGCAACGCGCGTCTCACATTGTTGCTAGCGTGCCTCGCTTTCTCCGCGCCTTTTGTAGAACGAATGAAATTCCAGCTGTGCCCGTCGTGACACTTCTCCGACGTAACATCGGCGTCACGTAAGAGTTGGAAAACAAAAAACAAAAAAAATAAATAAAAAAGGAAAACGTCCCCGGTAATAAATCACGGATCAAAATCTTTGGATCGATTAAAAAGGGCTTTCGCGTACACAATGTCAAATTGACAGCGACAATAATGTCGCGATAAATTTTCTCGCGATGAGATCCAAGTATCTCCCTGTCTGAAGTATCGCGTCGTGCGCGTTACACGTTATGTCGTAAAAGTGCATTGTTTTGAGAGTTGCACAATTAAACTCGCGCCTCGACGAACCGCATCTATCTTCTTACGGCGAGTCCATTCGCTTCTATCCCAAGCACATTACGAATAAAATAGCCTTGCCCTCGTTTTACATGAAAATTGTAGCCAACGACGAGTTCAATGACTGCGCTACTACATTCGCGCGCGCGTTCACCCGCTCGGATTTATTAAGCAGCTCGTTGCGTCGTTTTTGCGCGATCCCCGAGTTTGACTTTAATTCGTCATTTACCGCGAGGACGACGAATTTTCTCGTCTCACTTTCTCAATTTGTCCGAGCGCGAATACTACCGCGGATCCCATCCGCAGAAACGGAAAGATCGATAAACATCGGTATATAAAAGAACGTCGGTAACGCGCAACGGCCGGTCACGCGTCGTGAACGTGTATAATGTCTTTAACGGATTGCAGTGATTCTCGAAAGTAACGGCGGAGCAGAACGACTCATTCGTTCGTGTTCGCGTTGATAACAGAACGAACGGAGGAATCTGGTAAAAACGAGACTGATGAAAATTTGTAGACGCAGTTTTTTTTTTTTTTTTTTTTTTTTTTCTCTCTTCCACATCGCATCTCGTGATATATGCACAACTAACTACTTTCTAGAGTTTCAAGAATTTTATTATTTGTTGCTAAAAGTTCTAGTCGTAAATAATAAATTTTTGACTGGGCCAAGCTTGAGCAGATTTTCAAGTCGACAATTATCTTTCCGAGAATCTATGTGCTCCGAAAAAAAAGTTATATAAAGAGTTTATTAAGCTCTTTAAGGAGAAATTTCTTTTCAGATAGTTTTATTTATAACGCAAATAAAGGAAAAGAATATCCGCGGCATGAATCTATATACTTTATTTTAAGCACGAATTATATATCGCTCACGCGCGTCTATTTAACTATTTTTACGAGACGGACTCCAGATCGGACAATGGTGCATAGTTTATTCGCGGAGAGGACCGGCGCAAGTTAAATTCAATCCGTTTGATCGAAATAGATAATGCCCAGCATAACGTGGCCCCGCAACGCTAATTATAGCACTCGGATTGTGCCGTTTACGAGCCGTGGGATGTCCAGTTTATTGCGCGCGCTGTAATCATCGGTGAGCTTTATACCAATGTCGCGGTAGTCGGGGATGCCAGCGATATTGCGCGTCGAAACGCGGATAATTATGGTTCCAAAGGTGACGGAAGATAATTCCCTGTCCGCGGATTTCCCGTAGCATTTAGAAGGATTCGAATCGCGATACCGAACATTGAACGGATTAATATCGCTCTCTCCGCATTTTATCCCCTTGTTCGGATACGCAACAGAGATAATCTTCTTTCGTAATATAATCCGAAGAGAGAAAACACGACCGTGATTAAGGCATTCCTCTCCCAGAGATTCTCGCCAAATAATTTTCTTTTTTTCTTCTCCGATCTCGTGTGCGCCCGCGGAGATGATAATAGCGAAAATCGATTGGAAACGCAACGAGCGCGATATCTTTCTGCGATTGCAGAGCGTATATAATAGTGCCACCCGATATTTAATATCGGCCATCAAGCGTACTGGGGGAAAGCTTTCGCGATATTCCAGTCTCTGCTTCCATTTTTTTTCGCGCAACTAACTCTGGCTTAATCTCTTTCTCGATTTCCTCTCTCGTCCTTTATGCATATCTTCGCATTCCTCTTTATTCTAATATCGCATTGATTTCAAATCAATCAGGATCTCGTACACATAATCCGCATGCGATATAGACACTCGTAGATCTTGGATATCATTCTCCAATTCTTATCGGTAGATTTTCCACCGACGCCACGGGCAAAAGGTCGGAGTGTAATTCGCTGTGACTTGTTGTTCCAGGCGCTGGCGTCAAGATGGAGCACTTTCAGGCCACCCTGGACCCAAGGAAGCAGGAGTTATTGGAGGCCCGCTTTCTCGGAGCGAGGGTGAGCTGTCTATAGCGCGCACGCGTTCCTTCTCTCTCTTCTATTCTTTTATCCCCCCCGGACAAAAATATTTTTTTTTTTTTTTCTATCATCGTCGTCGTCGACGTGGTTTCAAATGCAAAAAGATTCGATATTACAAAATAGCGATGTTCGCGAGAAGTCGATAAAACATTTTTTTCCATCTTGCTTACTTTACGAGATATTTGCGTGCGTTGATTAAAATGACTCACCCTGTATATATCCACACACTGATAAATAGTATATAATCACTAATGCAGTATTTACACAAAAGATTTTTGTGCGAAACGAGCATCTCGAGAAAAACGCAATATGCAAAATAAGCGCGAAAAAATTGCAAGATATGTAAATGCGAGCGATTATGTAATACGGACTGCTTGATCATTCGTGCCTTTTATTTGATTAATTTTCTAGACCAATCTGGATATTTGAAGAGCTCGAAAAAGAATCGATTGGTCTTTGTGAATTCGGTAACACATCACGCGTGAAAGGCTATTGTTCCGGCGCAAATCGCTATTACTGATTATCGTTGTAACGTGTGTTCGATCATTATAAGGCCTTAATATTGTTTCGCCTATTTTGATCGTTGACATTGTTTTTTTTTACGCGTCGCGAATTTTCTACCATCAACGGTTTCCCTTAAATTGCACGTTTTTTTTTCAGTTTTGATAGTTTTTTTACAATGATTATCACTTAGGTCATTTGGTCATTTTGAGTAGTTTCCTACATTTTCGTGTAGGAAACTGTATGATACGCATGAAAACGTAGGAAACGTATTATACATGTTCTAAAGTCCGTGTCACACGCATTGCGGACTCCAATCGGATTTGGAGTACGGACTGCGAATCGTCATTTATCCAATCAGAGCGAAGTAGCCAAGGATCTGATTGGATGATTGACGATTCGCAGTCCGTAATCCAAATCCGATCCGCGTCCGCAATGCGTAGTGTGACACGGGCTTAAGGCTCGATTCGGTTGTCCAGAGCAACGCGATTGGTCGAAATCTTATAGTTATGGAAAAGCGTGTGTGACAGGCTTAATTCGTTGACGCGTCCTGTGCGTGCAAAAGGGAATTATACTGTGATTCCTTAACCTATTTTCGGCACTGTGACGTATGATTTTTTTGCAATAACTACAATATGCAAAAAGTCTTTGGCCTTCATAATATTTTTCAAAATTTCCTTTCTCCCAAAATTTGTGATATGGTCTACCTCCACGACTCATATTTTCGAAATTTATTTTTAGTTTTTCCAAATCGCGTGATCTATGGTTACGTTCAGGAAACAACCGTTGAACATTGTCTTGTTAATCGACGTTGATTTGTTGGTTTTAGGAGTAAGAACCAATCACATTCGAACATCATACGTATAATACATGGTTGAACTCATGACGTATTATACTATGTATAATACTATGTATAATACATGGAGGAAACCCGGTATAATACATCGAGTATAATACGAATACTACCCAACCTTGATTATCACCGAATGCTCTATTTTGCGATGCGAATAGTTTCTGTCGCGTCATTTTTTCATCGGCATTTTTTCATCGGAAGCTTCTTGCGATTTTAAACAGATGATGTTACATGATGACGGATCGTTCGTCAAGCTACATTCGTTTAGTAGGATTATCATTCATTCTATTGACGTACTCTCTATCGTCTTATCGACTTGGAACTCGGTTGAAACGAGTAATTAGCTGACGCACGTGATCGTGCAGTAGTTGCCGCACATTGGAGCTTTAGATTTTGTCCGCAAATTTTCTACTTTATCGTTTTATCGCGCGCTCACGGGGCCGGCAACGTATCGACTCTTATCTTGATGCTTATGATGAAAACGCGGCGTTTAAATTGTCACGCACGTTGTAGCAACGTGATTGCTCTTGTCTTTTTCCTCTTTTTCTCTCTCTTTAAAGAGGAATACAATGACATCGTAAGACGTTTTCACTGTTCATGAACAAAAATATGCGGCAAAAGAATATTCATTCGCTTTAAAACGGACTGGTGTTGTTACATATTACCTTTCATCCACTCTTAAAAAAGACATGTTAAGTCGATACTCGCAAGTATTGTTGCTTGTTCTCTGCTGATTGGTTATCTCTATTATCGCTGCGCGGTACATTACTTAATATCAATAAAAGCTTGTCATGGTTGAGCAATGGGCATTTGACAGTTCAAATATTAAATGTGTGCAGTTTTAATTTAATTAATTCTGAAAAAAATGGAAAATTAAAGTTAATATGTAATTATACACACATGCATACAAAATAAATGGCCCGCTTTTACAGTGTTCTAATAATGATTAAAAATAACATTCCTCGATAAATTCCCTAAAAAAAAAAGTGTATGGATACAATATAATAAAGTTTGCAACTCTCGTAGATTCGAAAGCAATGTAAATATGAATTGATAAGATCGATACGAGTCAAAACGCACACGCCGACATTGATAAACAATTCTTTTATCCAAACAATTGTACTTTCGGAACATTTTGATCATTTATTTTGATTATCATCAGCCGTGTATACAATTACTCTTTTATATTTAATTATTTAATTACACAATTTTACAAAGTAATTATGCATAATGTCCAAAAATGAATGATTGAAACGTCCAAAAGTCTAATTGTTCGAATAAAAGAATTTTATATCGATATCGATGTTTTGGCTCATATTGATTTTTCTTACATTGGTACGATATTTACATTAATAACGATATTGCGCATTATTATTCTACACAACATATGTGCTGACATTATGTTAAATTTAATAAACATCGCTATAGTCGAAACTAATATATAATAATACAATCTTTGCGCGCGAGGTATCGATCAAATCACACATTAGTTCTTTTCTCTCGGAGAGACGACTCATTTGTATACACGTCGATTCTATTTTCGGCAAATTACGACATCATGATATATAGAGTGTCCCAAATGTACAAGCTGTAATACAGACGGAGAGAGGGAATTCGTCTCATATACAATAATCGTAATCTTGTATTGATTTAACACGGTAGAATTAAAGGAAACCGTTTCGAGCGTGTAGGGCTCTCGCTCGTTCGAAATTACTTCTCCTTCGAAACTGCTTGGAAAAATATCCTGCAGGGGGGATATATTACGTGCTCGATGTAGAAACTTGCTCCGCGAATAATGTAATATTTACAACGATCCGCCTATATCGATCGCGCTTGCATTTATTCAGACGTTAAGTATTCGCGTCTCACGATGACGTAACGTCGACAAAGAATATCGACGAGTGAATATCATTATCTGTGTACATTCTAGCGGTATTATTAAATACACGGTAGTACACCCGTTTTGTCCCGTGCATCTCCATATTTGGAATGTCAGTCACAATTGCGATTGGCTCTTATACATATTTCGGATTTCTAAATTAGATATCACCACAGGAGCGGAGGATTTCAATAATACTTAGTGTCCCAAAAATGGAGAATCATGTGGGATCGATAAATGCGTAAACAACTACTTTAGCAGAATAATACACATATAGTTATAGCGAAGCGTTCGCGCGTAGACGGGTCGCGTCTATATTATCGGGTCTCTAAATGCGCGTGAAACGTAGAAGAAGAATCTCGGACTCGTCGAACAAGGGCAAGAGAAGTAAAAGAGCGGATAGGTCCGCCGCGCGCGCGCGCGACACCCCGTATACATCCGATCAGCGACGTTGCCGGGTCACTCGCACGTAAGATCCGCGCGCCTAGTGGATAACGCATGCATCCGTCACAACCGCGTCGTCGTGTCATCCGTTCCGGCTCGTCCTCCGAGCCGCCGCCGCCGCTGCCGTCGAGAGCTGCTCGTCGTTATTATCGTTACATCGCATCCGAAGCGGCACGGCCGACACGAAAAGGTGTGGCCAATCGCGGCGCACCGTGCAATCGGCCCGCGTGCTATCGGAAGCACAGCGGCTGGGGTCGAGAGCGACGACGACGTCACGTGGCGCTCTCACTTAGAGCACGGCAGTCAAGTGCGCGAGTCCGACGCGCTCTCGCGCGCCGTGAGAGGGGGAAGGGAAGGGGGGAGGAAGAGGGCGCGCTTAAGGGTGCTCTCACATGGTTGACGACGTCACGGCCGATATTCTCTTTCCCTTTGTCTCTCGTTTTATCAGTATCGTCGTATTACCGATCGTATTTACAGTGTTATTATCGCGTTCGTTCCTTTTTCGGCCGCGCTTTGTACATGACAAAGATTCTGCCTGCTGATTTTCCTCTTTTTTTGATCTTGATTTTATTCATGACGCTAAATTTTATCCAAGGAACATGAAAGCAACTTAAGGGAGCTCTCATATGGTTGATGATATCATGGCCGATTCTCTCTCTCTTGTTTTGTATTATCAGCATCATTGTATTATCAACCGTATTTACAGTGTTATGATCGCGTTTGTTCCTTTTTCGGCCGCGCTTTGTATAAGACAAAGATTCTCCCCGCGATTGATTTTTCCTCCTTTTTCATCCTGATTTTATTTATGACGCCAAGTTTTATCCAAGAAACGTGAAAGCCGCTTAATAAAACTCCTGTAAAGTGGCTACACCTATGACGTATCTGGATTTCCAGTCGAAGCGCTATTTCTCAGGTATATAGATATCGTCCGCAACTTGTCCAGAATCACCATCGACTTTCTCGCATCGGAATAACCGAACATTATTTTGACGATAATACTAACGTAACAAGCCAGATTTACAAGATGTAATTGCTGTATCATTTCATCGCTACTTTCCGTTTCTCGTCGGCAGTGTTGAAACAGCGGAGGATCCGTTTCGTTCCCGTGTGTGCATCTCTTTGTTCACGGCCGGTGTTGTCCTTTTTCGTCCTCACGGCCGAAGGACATGAAATGTGCGTGCGCGCATAAACGCAGTTTCATCTACCTACACCCACGCGACTGCGCGATGATGCAGCGTGCACCGGCGTGCGACCGAAACTCGGCGGAGCTTCTTGCATCGCGGTAGGAATGTCACGGTTTCT